AAATGGCAATTACTTCTAATTAATATTACCTTAAAAGGTCCCATTTTAAATCTTTTGAAAGGAGATGGGACAAAATCACGAGTAAAGAAATAAAACACTGCAGCAAGACTGCATTATATGAATTAAATCTTTATTTCTAGTATCAAAGACTACTGCATATTTATTCATAATAATAATAATTGATCTACAATAATATAAATTCTATGAAGAGCACTGGCATATGAAGGATGTGCTAGATCATAAATTCATTGTTACTTATCATGCAACCATTTTACCCCATTCTATAACACATTTGTTAAGATCAAAGCTTCCTTCACATTGGATGGCAAATTACTCTGTATGCCTAAAATCATAAAATACACATTCTTAGGTTAAGGTCTAATATATTTCCTTGCTTTGAGGAAAGTATTGACGTAAAAATCCATCAATAGCAAATATATATATAAATATAAATATATATATATGTGTGTATATATATACATATATATAAAATGGAAAACACATATCTAAGCAAAGTACATCATGACTAAAGCATTTTAGCTTTTTTTCTCTTTTTATCATTGAATTAGTGACTAGGAATAAATTTTCCAAAATAGAAATGGGTATATATTCAAACAGAATCAGAGCTGATGTCAGAAATCTATAATCCACATCAAAGTATATTACCCCAGATTCTGAAGAAAAATTAAAATTAGAGTTTTATTTCTATCCTAACACATAAAAATTTTTAGAGAAAAAATAAAACTCTATTTTTTAGTATAAAAATTTAGAATCAGGTATGTTCTAATTGTAAGAAGTCAAATACCATCTTGATTGATTGAATCATTCCATTAAGGTTCAGAATTGACACGGTATCATCAGCTAGGCTTTAAACAAATGGAAACAGTATGGAAAGAGAGTTTCCCCAAACTCCGAACGTCTAGCATCCATGTTTATCTTCAAGAACAACACAGAAAATAAAACCATAAAAGAAGCAACTGAAGTACTTAAAACTGTTCCCACTGCACCCCAAAGCTTTAGGGAACAAGCAAGATAAGCTGAAAGGCTATTAAATGGTTTTAGAATTTGCTACGTAGGAAACAGACTAGTTCTCACAACCATCTGGTCAGCACTCGAGTCAAAAGGGGCTGATGCAAAAGGAACTTGAAAGGTGTGGGCTACCTTCTTCCATCTACACTGTGATACCATCAGAGACCGGTCCTCTCTTCTGCTATTCTTCCTATGACAGCTGAACTCAACAAGCAAGTTCTTTCAATTCCACACTCAACTTTTCTGTATTTTCAAAACCAAATTTTAAATTTAAGAATATAAACAAAGAGCTGGTCAATAAAAAAAAACTGGACTGTTTAAGCAGTAAGAATTGGATACTAACTTCCAAATATTTATAATTTAGTAATTAAGAAACTAGTTAATCCTATAAAATTAATTATAATCAAAATACTAGAATGTGGATGTTGAGAAGAAATAAACATCAAATAGTATATTCTAAACCTACTGTATTTCCTTTTCTGAGGGCTAAATCCTTTGACTAAGATAAGTGAATACAAGATATGATATGTCAAAAAATTTTGAGACTAAACAACACAATCATTCTTAAGATTAGGATAAATCTGCACTTACATTTATTAATTAAACTGAAGCAAACTCAGGATATTTCTACATTTTTTTACTGTATAATATATGGTATGAAATTCAATTTTTATTCCTCAAAATGGGCAAGTAATTTATTTTTTAAATAAAGCAAATATCAATGTTAATTTTCTTGAAAATTCTCTTAAGAAAAGAAAATGAATGCATAAATAATTAATCAGAGAACCATCTGACATTTTCATAAAAAGTAAGAGCAGGTATTTTAAATAAAATCACATTCATGAAAAAAGGAAGCTATTCTAAGCCCAGATATTATGGCACATGCCAGCTATTCTGAAAAGTGCCAAAGACAGGTCACAATTTTGGCAATGAAAATATGACTCCAAATATGACAAAAACGAATGATTAATTCTTTTGGAATGTGAAGGAGTCTTTTCTTCCCTTTAAGTCATCT